TTTTTAAAACTTTTCTCAAATGAACGACTATAAGTTAATAAAAGTTGTTCATCTAAAAGCACGAGGGATAAGGGCTAGAAAAAAAATACTTTGTATTTTTATGTTCGTTCACTTAACTGAGTTATATCCGGTTACTTTTGAACTCAAAGGGTTCTACTAACTGTGAAACTTATATAGACAAGTATTCTCAATGTCACTCCTAGTTACACAAAGTATTCTCTATGTCACTCCTGGCTACATAAAGTACTTTCTATGTCACTCTTGGCTACACAAAGTATTATCTACGCCACTCTCTTGGATACACCAAGTATTCTGTATGCCACTTTTGCCTAAGATGCAACCATACGTTGCAATATTCTTTTACTAGCCTCTTTAGGCTTACACAAAAAAGGTTTTGAGTGTTTTCTATCTAACTCTCACAAAGAGGATATGTATGTTTAGGTACACTCGAAAGGGGTTTGACTTGTTAGGTAGAGATAGCTAACTCAAGTTTTCTTTGATCATCCAATAGACGATGTTATTAAAAGACATTTATGACTTTAGAGAGATTTTGACAATGTTTTTGCACAATCAACAAGCATTTATATACTATTCATAGATTTCTACAACTATTCATTATTATTTTCTTCTCTTCAAGTCTTCTTATATTTATAGACTTTAGAGATATATTCGTTGGTGAAAGCCTTAATACTTGGTTGTTTGGAAAGTGATCTTTGATCTTCACAAGATGATTGTTCTTCTTACTTGTTCAAATACTCTAGGACTTCATAAATACTTAGGCTTGATAAGATAATGAAGTAGAGAGCTTTAAATATGAACGAGCTTCTATATGCGCTAATAATTCTCTTTGTGGTTGACTTTCCTTTTTTGAACACTACATTAGTTCAAACGTACTGTACCAATATGTGCATATACACAAAAGAGAAAATAACGTAATATAACATTTATAACATCCACACATTATCAGAGCAATTATCATAAATGGTTTTCAAGTATTTTAAAATGTTCATTAAGGGCACAAAACAATCAAACAAGCATTGGGCTTGTAAACACCTATAAGATGTAGATGCTTGTCGCGCTATGTTAGACGTTGAACGCAAACGTTGACAATCCTGTTTAATAAGTGTTATACTTGTCTCATTTTATGCATATTGTAGAAAGGGTTATTCATGAAAACATTTTTGTTCTTCATCCTTATACATCGTTGGATGCGTGCTTCCCTAAATGACTTGAACAATATTAGTCTCTCAAGATCATTGCTTTGTTATCATCAAAATTAGAGTGTTAAACATATGAAAATGTCTTTGGTTAAACAATACATTTTGATCTTCAAACTAGTAATCATTATGAATGTTATGCTTATGTGGTGTTGAGATGCGCATATAAGTGTCTAACCGAATTGGAATTTTGCTATTGGTTCTTTTTTATAGTCTAATTGACCCAACAATCAATAAACAAGGGCCTTAGATATGTCTAACTAACTATGCTACAATTTTGAGAAGTGTCCTACAATTTTGAACTTCACAAAATAGCAAAAACTATGCCAAAACTATATGTTTGGACGCTTTTCAGTTTAGTGCTCAAATGGTCCTTTCTAGCAAACATCTTCAATTATCACTTCTCTAGCCAAGGTTTGAAATCTTTTGGACCATATTTTTTATTCTTTAATCAAAAAGAATAAAGCCTTTTTATAGGTCTTTCTATTTTGGATGTCTTTCACAATACTTTAGAAAAATTTCTATGTGACTCCAACAGATGCCCTTTTAAAAATATTCATTTGAAACCATTTTGAGAATGATAATTTTTTAGTTACAAAAATAACAAGTTATTTTCACCTTTTTTGTTCACATCAAGCATCACTACCCGTTGGCCTTCTAGCTAAAATGAAGCAACTTTTGACGAAGTCAATAACATGTCATTCACACTATTGCATCAGTCCCATCATGGACACAATTTTTAGGCCATGTTATTTTAAGAATATTTTTAATTAAAATATTTGCTAAAAACTAATTCGCTTTTCAAAGTAATAAGGATGTGGGCTACTTTCATTTCTCACTTTATTGAGAGGCCTTACACATAACTTATGTTCCATGGGATGGGCTAATCACATCTATGTCACTCTGACTCTTTAACATGATTCATGGTAAACTCAATAATTATCTTTATAATTATGATATTATAGATAATATTTGATAACTTTAAGACTTACAACTCCTGCATGTAGGAATTATGGTGACTTATAGATGTAGGATTACCCCAAAATATTTTCATGAGAATCACTTATGATACTTATATAACTATTCATAATAGGTTTGTTTAGTATAAATAATACTCTTAAATTTATACATGTGACTTGATATCCCATATATATAAATTGTAATATTTGATCATCATTCAATTTACACAATAATTTTAATATATTATTATCATTATAATCAACAATAATACTTAATTACAGATACTTTAAAAATAATATTTTATTATTCATTAAAATCTCATAATCAAATCATATATCATTGAAAAAATTACCTATTTTAAGGACATTAGCATGTTATATATGTTTTTTTTTTTTTTTGAAGTAGACAAATTAACGGCTATAAACATAAATACCTGAAGTGAAAAACCATTTCCTTTCTTCTTGTTGTACTCTTCTAGGTATATTGAGCAATTCTTCTTTCAATGTCCAATCATATCATTTTGGAAGTAGGTAGCGCCGTTGGTCACCCCACCTGCAGCTTTTAGGCCAAAAGAATTGGGCTTGAATTTCTTCTTGCATTTGTTCTTTTGGTTGAACCTCTAATCATTTCCTTTTTCCAGACTAAACCATCATAATGACCTTTCCATTTACTATGTTGATATTTTGATCAATAGTTCTGGACATGTTTGCCAGTTTTGGCAGTGCTTTAGCCATGTCATTCATGTTATACTACATGACAAACTAGCTAAAACTTCTGGCAAAATGTGTAGGATCAAATTCGTTGACAAATCAAGGTCCATAGAAAATAGAATTACATATATGTTAAATTTTATAAAATAGAAGTATATATATATATATATATATGAAAATGATACTTTAAAATAATTTATACAGCTAATAGAGGGAAGAGAGAGAGAGAGAATTTAAATTTAATAAATGATGTAATGAAAAGAGTTTAAATAAATAAATAAATAATGTTGTACGAAAGAGTTCAACACACTTCAAATCCTATTCAAGCTTTGCTATCATATGGTATTGTGTAAAACTTTGCCATTCCATCTACCATTACCTTCAATGGCCCAAAACCAGATGATTACATTTTTTTTTTCCAGATGAATTTTCATAGCTGCCTGCCCCAACTAATGCAAACAGCTGCAGCCGTGAGATGTGTTTTAATACAGGTCCTGATTGAGTTTTTTTTTTCATAAATACTTACAAGATAATAAAATAAGAAAATAAAATCAATTAAGTATCTCTCGCGAGTTAAAGTCAACTTATACACACTAACTTTTAGAAAAAAATTATAAGAGAACTATAATAATTAAGAATTTAAGATATTCAATTCATTTTACTTTATTTTTTTCTTATAAATACTTATAAAGAATTTATCTAAATAAAACCTACCCACTAACTAGTCCAAAAATGTTCAATCTTAGTGAATTTGAATTCGAAAGCCATCAAATTTTCTATCTTGGTGGTGTAAACATTTATGAAAAACCAAATGGATGAAAATTGAACACCCATTTGATCACATGCAAAAACAGAAGTTAGAACCAAGGCTTCAAAGGCAGCGTGGGGATCTATTAGTCCCTAGTCCCTATGGCATTTGCTGATGAGTTATTTTGTGATGGTAAAGTCCTTCCTTTGCTAACAGCCCACAAACTTTCTCCAAGGCTTCACAATGAAAATGCAACAAAATGAGCACCCGAAGCTAAATTACATCATGACCAAGGTCCCAAGGATCAGTTTTTAGGCTCCTATTTTCAAGTATACATTCATCACAGTTTTAGAGAAGGTCAGAGAAGAAAAGACAGAAGCCAAAGGGAAATATGAAAGCAAGATGGAGGGACAGAGGAGCATTGCTCTCTCCCAGCTCTGGTGATTTGTGAATAGCAGAGAGAACCATTTAATTATACACTAAGAGGTTCAAATGTTCTATCTCAACCCAAAGGATTGAATTGCCCAAAACAGTTGAGAGTGGCCAATGAACAGCCCTTTGGACCCAAGGGAACCCTTTTCTACCTAACTGGTTACGGATACAAAGAAAGATGGGCTAATTAAAGAGGCGTTTTTTGAACAAGGTAGAGGGAGCGGATAATGAAGTTTCCTTGTGAAGGCACACGAGTAATGTAGGTACTAATGTGCTATGCATAAGTTAGTAGCATTGAAGAAGCCACCATTCTATAGGAAACTTCACCTGAAACCCAGAGCACTGTTGCAATCATATCATTGTTACAAAGATGAAACAACTGGTGACACAACCAAAATGACTGACATGTTACAACCCTTTCTCTGCTGCCTCCATGTCATGATAGAACAAGTTAACTAAATGATGCAGTTATGATTAGACTCATTCTTCTTGTATTTAATTGATCTGATAGTAAGGTCATGATACAAATGAATTCAGAAATTGGCTTTCTCGAGTATGTACCTTTTGAAATGTGAGTTGAAATCTCATGTTCTCTTTTCTCTCTTGGACCAAAGGAGAACTCATGCTTGACTATACCCAGATGAGAGATTCTTATGACTTCTTCAAAACAACAAACAATAACCCCACACAGCTAATATGGCTAACATTAAATGACATATAAAATGGCTAAAATATCACATGGCACTGAAGATGTATACCTCCATCAAAAAACATGACAAGAAAATTCAGTGGCATAGAAAATTCATGGACATAAAGTATCTAACTTTTCTTCATTTAATTGCAAATTGCTATGAAATCTTATTTGCTTATCAAAAAAATGGACCAAAGCAAGCATCCATAATGCATATAGTTAACGAACTGTTTTCACATAAATAACGTCTGAACTACATCTTCATTCATTGGGATGGAAGCGGTACTGCTATGTGAGTTCAAAGCTACTACTTAGAAATTATCATCTAGATTCTATATTATGGTGGAATGAATATTCTACATCATTCGTGCGTAAATGAGCAATTTACAATGGGAGAAATCACATGAATATGCATAAATTAAATTTTCGCATTAAAAAATGTGACAAAGGACAGAAGAAAATCAGGTTGGCCTAAATATCTGAAGTTCTCTTCAGGTTGTATATTGCCATGTATAATGCAGAAACAGTCAATGCTTCAGTTGCTGAAACACAGCTTCTATATTGAAATCATGATAAGTGGTGGAGAATTTGATCAGATCCAGTGCCAACTAATCCAAGATTTCAGATGGCCAAAGGCGTTTCCAAACTGCAATCTCAGCCTCACTCTTAATCTTTCTTATTCCTCCATAAAAGCCATCAGCCTCATTTCCCTCCTCCCTATGGTCTTTCCTACTGACAGTGGTCTGCCTCCATCTTGATCCAGGAGTGTAATGATTGAACTCCAATACCACAGTGTCTGCAACCAACACATTTAGCATTAAATAAACTATGTTTGAATCTCAAGAAACCCCTCTCAGGGTTAGATATAATAAAAAAAAAATGCCAATGCCTTGACTCGTTAGGTAGTGGAAACTGAGCAGTTCATCATTTTAGTAGTTTAATAGTGCTACTAGTTTTTATGTTTGCAGTCTTTATAAAATTAAAATTTCCATTCAAGAGTAATTTATTGACAATAAGTGAAAGACTTGAAGAAATTAAATTTAACCGAAGAGCACAAGTTTGTTGAATTTCATTCCTCAAAGTTCATGGCAGGCAAAATAGCCCTTATCAACACAAGGAAACTAGCCTCATATTTTATAAGCACTTGATTTTGTTTACTGAAGCATAATTTTAAAATTCGTGCTATTTTTTATTTCTATTCCCACATCTGTGGTTTGTTATTGTGGATAAAGGAATGTGAAATAAAATGTCACAAGGGATACATTAGAAGGATCTCGTGGAGCATTTTGTCTATAAAATTAACAAGATCAGAAAAAGAGAAGTGTTTGAAGCTTATAATAATCATGTTTGTCCCACAAAGCAAAAATATTCCTACTAGAGTTGAAACATACTACAAAAGGAATCGAGTTCTTTAGCCTGGTTGGTCATAAATGTATATCCACTGAGACACAAATTATCAATTGTTGGTGGAAATGATGACATACTGACCATGAAATGTCTCGGGGACCAACCAAATAGCATAGCAGGTGGTCCACATTTAGATATATTAAAATCCAGAGAGATCTGGCCAAACCTGTGGTCTGGTCTGGTCTGGTCTGTCAAAGTAAACTAACTACACATGCATGTCAATTTTTTCCAATTTATAACCTCCATAATAATAATAATAATTATTATTATTATTATTATAAAAGTATAATATATTAAATCAATAAAACAACAAACTTTAAGCTTAATTTCTGTCTTGAAAATTTCTAAGCATCAACTTCCTTTAGCCTCCATTTTGTATCTTTATACAGCATATTAAGTTGTATGAAAATGCAAAGGAATCAAAAGTAGAAAGGTTTTATTGATATGAATTCCACAATCATTTTTTCAACAAGTCTGAAGATTTTTCCTTTTACTGATCCATTAGACAATCAATCATACTTGAGTCCAGAATATAAGCCTACTTTGCTAGATGGGAAGAAAAGACTGACTTAATTATTAATGATAAAACTATAACCAAGAAAAAGTAATGATTGATAATAGCAATCATCCAAAAGGAAGTTCAAATTAACTCACCACTAGTATGACATCGGCAATAATTTTCACTCCCATTGCATGACTCCAAGTGGCCTACAACACCATACCACCAACCTGCCATAAAGGTGCATCTCGTCATGCAGAAATTCATTTTAGCTTAATATAACTCCAATCACATCTAATATTAATGTCTACAAAGGCTCTTTTATAAAAGATTAAGGGTACAGCTTTGAAGATTGACAATATTGTTGAAAACTGAGTTCTCAATTATCAAAATCTTATCACAAGGGAATAAAGGAAATGGACAATTAAAAGAAAGGTAATCGTTTCTATAACAAAGACTCAAAATAGATCCATCTGCATCTTTTATGGACTGTTAATAGATATAGATAAATAGGGTCCTACAGTATGCAGCCATTCACTTCTATGTTTGGTAAAACTTAAAAGGCTTATGGTGAATTGAAACAAGATGTTGGAGAAAAGAACAAACCATAAGGAAATTCTTTGTTTTTCCTCCACTGAATCTCTATGTGATCACCCGGATGCAAATCATTTAAACACTCAGAAACATGAAGATCATGCGGAGAAGTATCAACAGGAGGTGCTCTTAGCCTTTCCCAAGGGATGCCACACTCTCTAGCATCTGCCCTTCTTCCATGCGGAGGATACCTGTAATCGGCAACGAATCAATAATTAGGTCATCAGATCTAAAGTTCATTTTATTTTCCTCCTATGTTTCCTTAAAAACTCTTCAAGCTTTACCAATGTGAACATGTATGTAATAGACTCCAAATGAATTCGACACGATAAGTATTTGAGCACCTACAATCATACCAATTACCTGGCTTGAAAGGTATCAGTTCGTGGATCATAGCTAAGTTCAGCATCATAGCAAGATAACATGAATCCAACATGACCATTCTGCACCACCAACAACAAAAATGTAACTTGTGAGAAAACAAAACCCACTGTGTTCAATTGAAACTCAAATAACTGGTTTTATAATTGTATCTAGCATGACAGATATAAATTTTCAATAGAAAAGTACAAAAGCGTATACCCGTACGTACCTCACGGTTATAGACCTGAGCAGGGAACCAAAAGTGGCCAGACTCAAGAGCAAGATACCAATTCATGACTGAGTCAACAGGCAAAAAGCTCCTCTGCTTGGAGCTATTATTGGCATCAACCTTTGTTCTAATCAATTGCAAAGGCCAACGAAGAGACATGAATCTCATCAAGCTCCTTTGCCTGCCATGTTTAAGAAGCCCAAAATTCCTTTTGGAAGCAACATGCCATTTCCACTCCCTGTAAGCAGCAGGGCCAATAACTCTACCCCACTTCTGCTTCATGTGTCTCTCCCAAAGGTGATCACTCACACACCTCTCCCTCAAGGAACGGCAAACAGTGGTCATTTGACACAGTGCAGAGGGAGGTAGCCTTTCAAGAATGCAATCCAAGGCCAACTCAGGCAAATCCAACACCGACATGTCATGGCTGTCCTCAACATTCTCTACTCTTGAAGTCAGACTCTTCCTCACCAGAGACATTCCTTCAGGAATTTGACACAGAAAACCAAGCCAAAAGCGGTTCCTGAACAACTTGGAGATGGTTCTCACAGACAACTCTTGAGAAAACAAAAGGGGAAACAACCTCATCTCAGTTGCCCATGATGGGAGTGGTTTGAGAAGGAGAGACTTTAAAAACAAGAAGAAGGAGATGCAAGTTATGAAGTAAAGTAGCATTAGAATATAGAAAGTCTTTTACGGGTCAAAATTGGATTTGGCATATGTGATAAGAGAGAGAGGGTGGCTAGACTATAGAGTCAGTGGAGAAGCCAATTGCAGAAAGGCAATAGCTTATAAAAAAAAAAAAACCAAACTATTTAACCCAAACTGAAGCAAATTGGAATCTTCAAACACCTTTTAAAGATGGGTTTTCTACTTTTCTTTTGGTTCAAAGAAACCCCACCAAAACCCCAATGGTGGGCCTCCTTACCCCAAAGTTTGAACAAGGTACACAACCACACACACCGACGAACTTGGGTGGAAATTGCCTTGACTTGAAGGCTTGAACACTGTTGTGTAACTATGTATAATAGCAAATAAAGAAAAAAGATTAAACAAACCTTTGAAACAGTTTTCTCCCTCCTATTGGCTTCCCACAACAAAAAGGAGCACAACCGTACAGACAAAGTTAACAGCTGTCATTCAATGAAAGATTGAATTGTTAGCGATGGGTCCTATGAAGGAGTTGAAGCAAGGAAGCTAAATAAGGTGGGGGCACCAAGATCTGTATCAGGTTTTCTGACACCTGGAAAACGGGATTGGCAAGAAAAGAAAAGAAAAAAAAAAGGAACAAAGATGAAGATAAGTCTAGATGCAAAGACCCATATCTCAAGAATCTCTTGGGAAATTGAATAATAAAATCTTGTTATTAGAATATTTTGTTCCTATAACAGATTCGTGGTAGTTACAATTGAGGCTCTGATTGGTCCACACACACCCCCAAGAAATGGAAACACAACAGCGCCAAAGCACAAGAATTCTTGAGGGTGGTGTGCACATGAACAGAAGAGGATTGATTAAAAGGGATTGGTTGTGATGGTGGTGATGAAGGGTGGTGTGGTGGGTAGGTGGGTAGGTCCTCTGCCCCACCTCCTTGCCCCGACAAAATTTTCACCACACCTCAATTATGCTCTATATTCAAGGGATCCCCAACCTTGTACCACTTTGTCTGAGGCAATTTAACAAACAGTTGATGGATCATAAATTGAAAAAGAGAAGAGAAAAATAAATTATTTATGTAACACACAACAATGGGCGGCTATGGTTAAACTAACATTATTTGTGGATCACAAAACACATTTCTACTTCTAGATTCTGTGATCCAATCAATTTACCCAAATTGTATATTTTAATAGAAATAATAATAACAACAAATCAATTAATTGAAATCATACTTTGATTAAAAAAAAAAAAATTCTCTGATTCTCTTGCAAGTGGGTAGGAGGGAAAAAGACAGCCGTCTTTGGATAACGTATGGAGCAGTTGTTAAGACTGAGACCAAGGCTACCCGTCAACGATTGCTTCCCTACAATCGTGTCTATTGTAAATTTAATCATTCATTGCACGCACGTTTTGTATCAGGTATCTTATGAATGTTTTAAAACATTTATTTATTGCTTAAAATTTAGTAAAAATTGTACATTTGTGTGATTTTCGTGTCATATTTCACGATTTTTTTTTCTTCTTAATTTTACATTCTATTTTTTTTTTCTTCTGTTTTGACATTTAATATTTTTATTTTCTAAGGAAATGTAATTAATATTTTAGGTTTTATTCAAATTATTATAAATTTTCTAAAATACCCTTTGTATTTTATATTAGTTATGTTTTGACACATTTATATATTTTTTATATTTTTTACTATGTAATAAATAATTAATGATATTGACACCTGTAAGACCCCCTTCCCTCTCTTTTTCCCTTCCTTCACTTCTCCAACCACAATATTTTTTTTTTTAAATTGATTTGGGCTTTTCTTTAGAGAGTAGGTATTGTCGTATATTAGAGCATTCACTTTTCTTAACTTTCTATACGTACTGCAACCTAATCCTCCTTAGCTAATAAAATAAAATGAATGAAATTAATGAGCTAATCTAGAATGCATGTCATATTTTTTTGCCTAATCTTTATCATGTTTATATTATCTAAAAGGGAATGATGCATGGTAAAGAAGAGATTTATTTTATTGATTTTTTTTTACAAAAAGGAAACTACCTATATGATGTAGTGGAATGCTGACCTAAGAATGTATGAAGGGGTATAAAATTTTTATTATTTTTTTTAATTTTTTATTATTATTTGTTTGCTTATTTTAAAATTCCAATCCACTCTTATTAGAAGAAATAATACAAACAAATGCACACACACATGCTCAATCAATATACACCCATGAACGATCATATTCAAATCCTTGGTCTGTGGACCCTGTAAGAAAAGTGCATTGTATAGGACAGTTCTAATCTCACTGGTCTTAAGGCCCCCATGGTGCCCCCATTATAGGGACCCAGTATCTCTATCGCCGTCACTTGGAAAACTCTAAGGTCCGTCGCAGTATTTCGGGCTAGAGTAACCGGTTATTACCTTGAGTGTGATTTCCGACAAGGCTCGTAGGCTCCAAGGCCAAACTTGGGCCGGTCGTATGTCAACCACTCCCTATGTTTAATACCCTCATGCCCCCGGGTGTAGGGGGAACTGTTGTGTGCAAAGGTTTGTGTACAATTTTTTTATTCAAACAGATGCATAATTTAAACAAGCAAACAAATATTAAAGCCAAACAAATAAAGCAAACAAAGTAAAGGGGAAAAATATTTAAATTATTATTTTTATTTTGTTAACTTCATCAATTAAATGGGTCTGACCCTCTTTAAACGAGTTGGGCAAGTTACACCTCGTGCTCGCAAACAGGCAGAATCGAGACATCCAAACTGCACTATCCCCTAGGACTCCCCCAAGCTGTTACACAAGGAGGGCCTTCCCTAACGGTGTACTCCATATCGTACCCTTCACATAAATGCACACGATGCATGTCACACACATTTACACTTCATGGACTCATCACTTTACTTGTCATAGTTCCTCATATATCATGTCTCATTGTCACATATCATCATCTTTCATATCTCATATTCACTTTTCACATTCTCACAGTCATAGTGTTCATAATAGCACGTCATTCACATCATATCTCATGTCATTTGTTCACATTTCACATAGTCATACTTATAATTGTTTCTCATAGGGTTTTGCATAGCAACCCACAGAGCACTCTAATTCATCTCAAAACTTATCTATTTTCAAAATTAATCACATATTCATACATCACATCCAACAAGGAACACAACAGAACAATCAAAAAGAAAAATAGAAAACATTCATATTTTGCCTGTTTCTCATAGGGTTCTCTCAGAAACCCACAGAACACTCTAATTCATATTAAAACTTATTTATTTTCAACATTAATCACATATTCATACATCACATCCAACAAGGAACACAACAGAACAATTAGAAGATAAAACATAAAACATTCATATTTTGTCTGTTCCTAGAAGCATGCATCAAGCAAGGGATTGAGGGCCAATCCTACTACCCAACAATTATTCCCATACCTCCGAGCGAGATTTCTCACTCCCTTCTTACCTGGATAAGCAGAAGATGAAGCTAGAGCAGAACCTAGTTGATCTCCTTCTTTTGGTAGAATGGTCAGCCAGGTCGTTACAACACCAAGAATGATACTCTTAATGTAATTAAGATCTTAAAGGAGGTAAGACTCTAACAAACTTAAAAGATATTTTTGTTAATATTATCACATTGATTATATTAATACCGTAAATAATAACTAGTCAATCATAATGAAACATTTATATTTTTTAAAAAACAAAATGAAAGAAGAGATTATATTTTTAATAAATTTTAACTAATAAAAAAATTATCATATCATAATTGTATTTTTGTTGATGGCTATATTTTATTAAAAAATTATAATTTTTTTGTTGATTTAATTTATTATTTAATAAATTTTATTAATAACTAATATTTTATTTTGTACATTATACATGCCGAATAGTTATTATATAAATAAAATTTATAATAAATTATACGCATAAATAAATACTATATAAATCTTCCAAACGTGTAAATTAACAATTTTAAAGATTTATATTAAAAACAATAAAAATAAAATAAATTAATATACTTTATATATA